ACCACACCAGGACTCCTGATAGAAATAGGCATATAACTTTGGCAAATTCAATCCTTTATAACAACTTAAGTATTAAATTTAGTAAACAATCTTTACCTAGCTTCACAGGGTTAATATTCTATGATGCTTTAACCTTTTCATAAAATTGCAAAGATATGTTTTAGATACATTGCCTCATTGACTTCTGGGCTTTAAGGTCTAAGGTTAGCCACAATAGCAAATTTGAATCCAGGAACCAGATAAATCCCCTCCATTTATTCAAAGAATGGTCCTTTTACTGCTTCCAAATCCCCCAACTTCAGCTCAAAGTTAACTTTTAGCCCTGGCTGGCTTTGGCCAGGTTCTGTTTTGAGTTCTGAATACCCAAAAGAAATGTAAGTCCTTTGCTTCCATTATCCCTAGAAGGAATGATGTATATAGATCAATTTATCTAGGTAAAATGAGATTTAATGTAGTCTACCGACTTGATGGCAGCTAACAACAACAATAATACAGAAATCAGTTTTCCAATAATAAATCCATTCTCTCTGTCTTTCATTCAAGATTAAATAACATACAATTTTAAAATCTGATTTTTTTTTTCTGTCACTATTGTTGTTAAGTGCCATCAAGTTGGTTCAAACTCATAGTGACCCCCTAGAGGGTTTCCAAGGAATGGCTGGTGAGTTTGAACCATCAACCTTATGGTTCAACCTGAACTTGCGGTCCAGTGCTTTATACCACAGCAACACAACAGGACTGTATAATTAGCTATGGTTCTCATAAACAGAAAATTGTGGAGATTTTTTGTGATCCTTTGTAGTCCATTGTGTTACCCAAATTCAGAAGGCATCTTCTTTTATTCATTAAAATTCACACCGTTTTTAGTAATCTGTATTTTATAGTACATAAAGAAAAGAATATGAAAAATAATTTTAAAAGTGAGATGATTTTTGCTGATGATTTATTGCAGAGTGCTGCTTCAATGGGGTAAGTTTTACATATTTAGTACTGAACACAGCAATGGGATAAGACATGCAAGTGGGTTTTTTTGTTTTGTTTTGTTTTGTTTTTTTTTAATTAAATGTTTTTATTTTGCATTGAGTGAAAGTTTACAGGGCACATCATCAGCTTCACATTCAACCATTCATATAGCTTGTTTCATTACATTGATTATTATCCCCGCTATATATCATCAGTTTACAGTGTTTCTCTCTTTCCTCTCTGGTTTTTTTTTTTTTTTTTTTGGATGGGGGGGGATGCAAGTGGGTTTTGAGCGTGGAGAAATACTGAAAAAGCACATCATTTTTGTTTTAAATCTCAATTTGCCAATAAAGAGTACCATATAAATTCCAACCAGAATTTTGAATTCTTCATTTCATTTCATTTCTTTTTTCCCCCTTAAATATCGAGTAATTGAAACTTAGTAAAGAAGATATTCTGTAGCTTCCACAAACTTTCATAGAAGTCCAGTTGCTATTATACCCACTTGCATATGCTAATACACTGATTCATAATTGCATATGCCAAGGATTGCATTACAATAGGTTTCCATCTGTACATTCCCTTAAGGTAAAATTTGAAGTGAGAAGTCTTAGAGACAAAAGATTGCATCTCTTTCCTTATCCTTGGAAGTCTTCATTGTTGTTGTTGTTAAGTGCCATCAAGTCAGTTCCAACTTACAGTAACCCTGTATAGGGTTTCTAAAGAGCAGCTGGTGCAGACCGACCAATGACTACAAGAACAAGGAAGTTGCCCTCACAGGAGACATCAAGGCAAGGGGTCGGGTCCCCTCAATGGGAATACACTTTCTGATGGGTGACCACGTTCGCCACCGACAAGGGGAAGAAAGGGAAAAACAGCTATAAGGCTGTGAGCTAAGCCCTACAATGGTCAATAGACTCCTGTGAACCCAGGTTGAGACCTGGTTGGCCACACACACACACAAGGCCTACGGTTTGTCTAGAAAGTGTCTAGAAACACACACATCTTACCCGTGTGTGTGTGTATACACACACACACACACACATATATGATGCCTCAGAAACTTTGTGGAATAACTGAATCGAAAAATAATAGAATTTTTCGATGAACTTTTTGAAGTCTCCTCACAGTCTTTATGAAGTATGTTTGGGAGCACAGTGGCTCAATCAGATAAGCACTGGATAGTTAAGCACAAAGTCAGCAATTTGAGTCCAACAGTCGCTTTGCAGGAGAAGGCTGAGACTTTCTGTTCCCATAAAGATTTAAAGCCTCGGCAACCCTATACAGGAATGTGATGAGTTGGAACCCACTTGGCAGCAATGAATAACAAAATGTTTTATTAAACACAATTTCCATTCAAAACCTACATGTGTTACATTAAAAAAAATTCTGGAATAATTGTTTTTTTTTTAAGTATATGCTTAAAAAGAGTTTATGAACGTGTATGTCACACTGTGGGATCAGCACTGGACTGAGAACCACAAGGTAGGCAGTCCAAGCCCATCAGCTGCTCCTCAGAAACCCTATACAGGGTCGCTATGAGTCAGAACCAACTCAAGGCACTAAACAGCAACAACATTCATACATTCTATTTTCTCCTGCAAAAATATTCATACATCATGCCTGTATATGATAAACATTCAGAAACATCATACTTATAACTTTTCATATCATTTCACCACATTGACCCATCATCACATTGCTTTTGGATAGTAATGGCATCATTAAGACCATAATTTGAAAATATTGTCATTGAGATGGAAGTTACTGTTGTTGTTAAGTGTTGTGGAGTTATAATTTTGACTTATAGTGACTCTATATAGGGTTTCCGAGGCTTTTTAGATGTTTGCGGGAGCAGAAAGCCTTATCTTTCTCCTGCATAGTAGCTGGTGAACTCAAACCGTAGGCCTTGTGGTTCACAGTCCAGTGCTGGCTGTATAAAGCCAATGCTCTCTCTGGGATGGAAGTAATGAAATTCTAAACAAATGGCATTTCATTGCAATTAATCTTCAAGAACCTATACATGTAAATGCTTTCACATGCTACACAAATATTTCCATAATGCTTTCTTCTGCGAAAATAATTTTAGAGTGACTTTCTTAGCCTACTTTTGTAAATCAAAAAATAACCCACCTTTTATAGTGACACTGTTTCTAGACCAAAAATCTTTTTTTACCCATCTAATAATGACTCAGTGTAGTTTCCAGACATGATTGTAAACAATTCCAACTATTTTTAAAAATAAAATCTACCCACAAGGAATGAAGATGTGTTCCCACTGAAGATATTTAAAACATCTGTCACAGAATTTGAAGTCAGTACTATATCAGATATTCTAAAATGTATTATCAAGAATGGAAACACTGTGGTAATAAGTATGTTGTTTTTGCTAAGGGTCATCCACTTAGTTCCAACTCACAGTGGCCCTATATAGGGTTTCTGAGGAGTGACTGACTAGTTGGTTTGAACCACCGATCTTTTGGTTAGCAGTCCAGTGCTTATCTTACAACACCACATCAGGTCCCAATTTGAATTTGGAGGAAGGCTGCATATCACATGCATTCATCTAAGCAAGAGCTGTATGCAAATTGTAAAGTTTAAAAAGAAAATGTATTTCATTTCATTCATTGTTAGGAATGGCCACCTTGTTCACAATACCTAGACATGTCCTGAGTATTTCTCCATACTTCTCTTCCAGATACCCATGTAAAATAATACCTTGTCCTTGCATAGTATAGACAGTAATGCATACCCTGTCTATACTATGCAAAAGGAGCACTGATAGCGTAGTGGTTATGAATTGGGCTGTGAACCACAAGGTCAGCAGTTCGAAACTACCAGCTGTTCCGCGGGAGAAAGATGAGGCTTTCTGCTCCTGTAAAGATTTATAGCCTCGGAAACCCTGTACAGGGTCTCTATGAGTCGGAACCAACTCCATGGCACACAACAACAACAACATACTATGCAAGTACAGTTTCATATGAGAAGATGAAAGACCACAACCTTTGGTATGGGTTGCCCCGCAATAAAAAAATCCTTACAATTGGACCAATAAATAACATCCTGATAAGTGAAGAAAAGATTGAAGTTGTCAAAGCCTTCATTTTGCTTGGCTTGACCAACAACAGTCATGGAAGCAACAGGATCTCTATAAAGTGTTCAAGAAGAAACGAATTAGTATGAAGACCATTGTATTTCCAGTCACCTCATATGCATTTGAAAGTTGGACAATGAGTAAGGAAGACCACAGAAGAATTGATGCATTTGAGTTATGGCACTGGAGAAGACTATTAAAAGTACCATAGACTTCCAGAAGAACAAACAAATCTGTGATGAAAGAAGTAAAGCCAGAATGCTCCTTAGAAGCCAAGATGGCCAGATTTCATCTCTCATACTTTGGACATATTATCAGGAAAGACCTGTCCCTGGAGAATAACATCATGCATGATCAGGGGCAGGTCTGTGAAAAAGCGGGAGTCCCTCTAATGAGGGGCAGAATGGTGACAGCAGTGGGCTCAAGCATAACTGTTGGGAGGATGGTGAAGGACCAGGCAGTATTTCATTCTGTTGTGAATAAGGTAAGCACTATGAGTCGGAACCAACTCAATGCCACCTAGCAACAACATAAGATAGAATCAGATTCAAATTACAAAAAAGATTAACACATGTCTTTGGTTTTTACTCACATCAACAAGCTGATTGACTCCACTTGCTGTTTTTGCCAGTGTAACAAGGTCCTCTTGCATCTTGTCCACCCATGATTTGATGCTGCCGGAATCAATAAAGAGAATGTTCAGTCAGATCTTTGACAAATAAACGCACTATTAAAAATTGAGATTTTTGCATTCTATCCTGTAGGTAAATCATTGGATTCCCACTTAAATCTTCCCCCTCTCCCAGATCCCACTATGTCAAACATCCCACACAGAAGCATTCAAATTTTAGTGTAGAACTTCCTTTGTTGTTAAGTGCTGTCCAGTCAGTGCTGACTCATAGCAACACCATATAGGGTTTCCAAGGAGCAGCTGGTGGATTAGAGATGCTAATCCTATGATTAGCAGCCTACTGCTTGTCATGCAACCGCAGGACTCTAAAACCTCCTAGGATGCTGAAAGATCCCCAAATCAAGAAGATAAAAATGGCATTGCTCTTACACCTTATCTAGGTAAATATATCCTTAATTTTGCTTAAATTTTGTAATTAGTTATTAAATATAACATTCTAAACTAAAAACCATACTTCTGGTTAAAAGTCCTCTGAATATACTGAGAATAAAATAAGGTTTTAAAAAATTACTTGTAATTTCTCTACTCAGGAATAGCCACTTGACATTTTGATGTAGTTTTTTTTCTGATATTTTAATGTTCTATCACATAATTAAGGAGACCTGGTGGCGTGGTGGGTTACAAGATGGGCTGCCAACTGAAAGGTCAGCTGTTCGAATCCATCAGCCATTCCACAGGAGAACGATGATGAGGCTTTCTGCTCCCATAAAGATTTACAGCCTCGGAAACTCTACTCTGTTGCTGAGTTGGAATTGATTTGATGGCACATAACCATCACCAACAAATAATTGAATGCATATAGAATTCACATCTTGTTTTCTTTTTATTCCATATAATAAATCTATTCTCATGCCTCTGAGAGTATTTTATGTGCATTTATTTTTAATGGCAATAATATTCCATTATATCTAGTTCTCATATTACATAAACATTCTCTTGTTTTCAGAGATAATTAGGATATCTTCAGCTTTTTACAACACAAAATATTCTGTAACAAATTTCTTAGTGCATAAATTTTAACGGTATTTTATTTCCTTAGCTAGAGTCTCAAATTTGAAACTATTGAATCAAACCTTAACTTTTAAAGTCCTAGTTCAGAGTGTCAAGACTGTGACTAAGGATTTAAGTTCAAATCAAATATATATAATATATTTGTTGTTGTTGTTGTTAGGTGCTATTGAGTAGGTCCCGACTCATAGCAACCTTATGTACAGCAAAACAAAACACTGCCCGATCCTGGGCCAACCTCACTATTGTTGCCACGCTTGAGTCCATCGAACCTGCCACTTGGCTAATCCATCTCGTTGGGGGTCTTTCTCTTTTTCTCTGACCCACCACCTTACCAAATAGGATATACTTACCACACACACTATATATATATATATATATATATATATATATATATATATATATATATCAGATGAAAGCAATGGGCATCTTAAAATATGACCTATGGATGACTACATTTAAAAAAGCCTAAATCTATGTATTATATCTTACTTTTTACTGGCATTACAAATGTTACCAAATACCACATAATTATTCCCTTTCAAATCAATAAAATATGATGAGTATCCCTCCATATATTTTTATGTGTCCTTATACTGTAGCTTAAATACATGAAAACATTTGTGAAAATGAAAGAAGAATGAGTTATATATTTTTTCTTAACCTGAACTTCTCTGTATATGTTTATCATATGTACACTTATAGTTGTTCTTAAGTGCTGTCAAGTTGGTTCCGACTCATAACAACCCAGTATAAGGTTTCCAAGGAGCTACTGGTGAAGCTTGAACCACCAACCTTGTAGTTCAAACTAATCTTGCAGCCCAGTGATTTAACCCATAGTGCCACACCAGATCTCCTATTATGTTTATCCAATTTCTTAGAATTATTATAGAGTGTTTTCCCTCATTGAGTAGACCACCACCATAGATGCTGATTGACAAAGGAAAACAAACTCTAAATTTAACAGATGCTTGTATCATGGAGATTTAACTATCACTGTATTCCTTTCCTTTGATAATTCTAGCAGTATTTTAAGGTCATCATATATTTCTCAGATAATTTAAATGAAACACACATGCAAAAAAAATTGAGTGTGAAAAATGTACAACATGAATTTAAGTGAGGTGCAAGAAAACACTTGGAAGTGTTACAGAGCAAGGATGTCACTTTAAGAATAAAGGTGCACCTGCCCAACCATGAGTTGATCATGAATAAGAAAGACTGTAAATGAATCGATGCATTTGAATTATGGTGTTGGCAATAAATACTGAAAGTACCATGGATAGCCAAAAGAACAAACAAATCTATCTTGGAAGACGTCCATCCAGAATGCTTTTTAGAATGATGGTGAGGCTTAGACATACAATCTAAAGGATTAAGACAAAGTGGGAGAAGATGCAGATAAGATCATATGATTTAGTTGTAAGTGACTATTAACAGCGTTAATTGAGATTATAAAGAATTGACAACCTAATGAGGGGATTGGTCAATTTTTCCATCCTGAAGAAAATAAACCATCTCAGAAACAAGAGGGAGATCTCACTATCATCAAGAAAGAAGAACCAGAAGTGGAAAATGTCCTTTGGACCCCAAGATCCCTGTATATTCAAACTCCTTGATTCAGGGAGAGAAAACTTAGACACCAAGAAAGCAGCAGAGGAGTGGTAGAGAAACAGCAGCAACAGAACCAAGAGCCAGAGCACAAGACAGAGTGATGGACTTTACAGTCTATGGAGTGAATAAATTTGAAAGCCTTTGGGAAGGCAGCCACTTTGGGCATTTACCAGCAGCTTTTTTGTTGTTGTTGTTGTTTTTAATGTTTCATTGTGAATTATGTGACAGTTTACATGGGAGAACATTAGCTTTACATTCATCCTATCATATATCGCTTGATTGCCATGGTTACAATCCCCTCTATGCATCATCAACCAACCAAAGGGTTTATACCCTGCAAGCCTGCCCCCTGGTCATCAGCACACAGCCCTTCTCCCCCTCTGTGGCCACCATCTTTTTAGCAAGGGTAAATGGGGTACGGTTTCTTAAGGAAATTGTCATAGAAACATCCTTGCTGTCCTCAAAGAATGAGCAGTTGCATTGTAGTGGTGCAAAAAAAAATTCCTCAGAGAAAATTTCTTGGTCTCTTTCTTACCAATTCAGGTTTCAGCTTTCTTAAAATGTCTTCATAATAAGCCCTAATTATTATTCTGACTTCTTTTGAGAAATTTTATCAAGATGATCCCTTTGGAACATTTAGAATCTCAAAAAATAGTCACTTAACCTTCTGAAGGAGTACTGTGGTTTTGCAGGATAACCACTAGACTGCTAATGATCAGATCCGTGGTCCGGGCCCACCATTTGCTGCTCAGGAGAAAGGAAAGCTTTCTGCTTCCTTAAAGATGTAGCGTAGTGGTTACGAATCGGGCTGCGAACCTTAAGGTCAGCGGTTTGAAACTACCAGCCGCTCCGCGGGAGAAAGATGAGGCTTTCTGCTTCCTTAAAGATGTACAGCCTTGGAAACCCTACGCAGGCTCGCTGTGAGTCTGAATTGACTCAGCATCACTTAACAACAACACCATCTAAAGTGGCATCTCTGTCTTGAATTTAACTGACCCAGCAGTTAAATTCCCTTAGAATCTATACTAGAAGCCAGTTTTTTTGTTGTTGTTGTTGTTTTTTATTGGTCCTTGCTCCCTGGATATCGTTGTTGTTAAGTACCTTCAAATAAGTTCTGATTCATAGCAACCCTGTATAGGGTTGCCAAGGAGTGGCTGGTGGATTGAGAAGCTCTGTGGATAAAATTCGTAAATCCAAAATTCGTGCCTGGTTATGATTTGTTCTATTAAATTGTCTTCATTAGCTTTGATTGTGCTAAAACGACTTATGGAAAGATCAGTTCTTTGAGCTAGCAGATCACAGTGCAGCACTTTTAACACCCATAAAACTGAATACTTGTTGAAGTCAAAATCTTCTCTTAAACTTAAAATGCCAATGAGATCCCAACTTCAATAGCTATCACATTAGTAATTATTCTACAGTCTTCTTCCACCAATTTTTAGACTTTAGTTAAAGATTCTACATGAGGTTGACAGTCTTTCCTCTCTTGGCTCATTTTTAAAGTTGTAGCATGTTGTTGTTGTTAAGTGCCTTCGAGTTGGTTCCGACCCATAGCAGCCCTGTACAGGGTTTCTGAGGGTGTAAATCCTTACGGGAGTAGAAAGCCTCACCTTTCTCCCGCAGAGTAGCTGGTAGTTTCGAACCGCTGACCTTAAGGTTCGCCGCCCGATTTGTAATCACCACGTTACCAGTCGTAGCATAGTGGTTACGAATCGGGCTGCGAACCTCAGGCTCAGCAGTTCGAAACTACCAGCTGTTCCGTGAGAGAAAGATGAGGCTTTCTGCTCCCGTAAAGATTTACAGCCTTGGAAACCCTGTACAGGGTGGCTAAGAGTCAGAACCGACTCCACGGCACATAACAACAACAACAATATATTATATTGGAGTCCTGGTGTGGCACTGTGGGTTAATGCACCAGACTACAAAGTCATTTGAATTGCAAGGTCGGTGGTTCAAGCTCACCAGTCACTCCATGGAAACCCTATCCAGGGTCGCTAAGGGTCAGAATCGACTCGACAGCACTTAACAACAACAACATATATTATATATTATAGAAATGTATTTTTGTCCAATATTTAGATTCAGAACCATGAATTACAGCAGAATATGTATAGTAGTAAAGACCACTGACACCACATTTTAATTAAAATCAAACTACAGTATATCATTTTTCTAAGCACTTACTGAACAATCCCAAGTACCCATAGAAAATGAGTCATCTCTTCTTAAACTGTCAACATTGACAAATAGTAAAAAAAAAGTTATATATCCCTTCAGCTAAGAAACTTGAGAGACAAAGAATAGATATGTAAAGAAATGAACTTAACTCATGATTGAATTCTGATTTATGCTAAACTGATC